TCAATTGCGGCGCAATTTTAATATGGAAAGTCTCAGCATCAGCGAACCAGCTGATGGCGATGAGGAACAGGATTTCACATTTCGTTATCCGAGCTATATGTATCCCGATGTTGAGTACGACAAGCATGATGTGCCGCTCTCCTTTCGAGCCACGCCAGACTCGCTGTTCAATCTGTGCGCCGCTGTGGTGGACGCCCAGGCACGCACTGAAGTCTTCAAGTGGAGCATAAACGAAGTTGCCGAGTGGCTGCGCGAATTTGGCTATCCGGAGTACGAGGTGGGTTGGCTATGGTTGGGGCGCCTACAAACCGTTCAGTTCGAATGTATTCACAGGAAACCTTCAGGGAGAACTATATCGATGGACACAAGCTGCTCAATCTGGATGCCATCGCTCTGGTGGCTCTGAATATACGCGATTTCGAGCACATTCGCCATCTGGGTCGAGGGATTCGAGCGCTCTATCGCAAGGAGCTGCAAACGGCGACGCAGACGAAACATCAGAGCGAGGTCTACAAATCCTTTCGATCACGCACCGGACGCAAATACGAGGGTCTGCGTGAGACGGAGCTACTGGGACGCATGCACATGCTACGCTCTGTCTTCCAGGACATCAACGACTGGGAGCTAATGGAGCTCCATATGGCGCGAACACCCGTGCGCCGATATCGTGAGGTGTTGGCCAGCTCGAGGCGTTATAATTTATACGGCCCCACAATGGCACGCAGATCGCCCCTTACGATGGATGACGGCGATACAACAGCATGGTATAACTTCGGGAATTGTTATTGAGCTGCCATGTGGCAGGTTCTCTGAACCCACCAACAAATATCTAACTATGTCAACTGTTTGTTTAGCTTAAATCAGCTGATTCTTGTTAATTTCTCTTACTATGCATAGTCTACTTTTTGGCGCATAACACCTGAAACTAAGGTTTCTAGTCTAGATCTTCTAGTTCATGGAATAAATATTATATAATTTGTATTACTATTAATCCTATTCGTATTTATTCTTATTCTTATTCTTATTCTTATTCTTATTCTTATTCTTATTCTTATTCTTATTCTTATTCTTATTCTTATTCTTATTCTTATTCTTATTCTTATTCTTATTCTTATTCTTATTCTTATTCTTATTCTTATTCTTATTCTTATTCTTATTCTTATTCTTATTCTTATTCTTATTCTTATTCTTATTCTTATTCTTATTCTTATTCTTATTCTTATTCTTATTCTTATTCTTATTCTTATTCTTATTCTTATTCTTATTCTTATTCTTATTCTTATTCTTATTCTTATTCTTATTCTTATTCTTATTCTTATTCTTATTCTTATTCTTATTCTTATTCTTATTCTTATTCTTATTCTTATTCTTATTCTTATTCTTATTCTTATTCTTATTCTTATTCTTATTCTTATTCTTATTCTTATTCTTGTTCTTATTCTTATTCTTATTCTTATTCTTATTCTTATTCTTATTCTTATTCTTATTCTTATTCTTATTCTTATTCTTATTCTTATTCTTATTCTTATTCTTATTCTTATTCTTATTCTTATTCTTATTCTTATTCTTATTCTTATTCTTATTCTTATTCTTATTCTTATTCTTATTCTTATTCTTATTCTTATTCTTATTCTTATTCTTATTCTTATTCTTATTCTTATTCTTATTCTTATTCTTATTCTTATTCTTATTCTTATTCTTATTCTTATTCTTATTCTTATTCTTATTCTTATTCTTATTCTTATTCTTATTCTTATTCTTATTCTTATTCTTATTCTTATTCTTATTCTTATTCTTATTCTTATTCTTATTCTTATTCTTATTCTTATTCTTATTCTTATTCTTATTCTTATTCTTATTCTTATTCTTATTCTTATTCTTATTCTTATTCTTATTCTTATTCTTATTCTTATTCTTATTCTTATTCTTATTCTTATTCTTATTCTTATTCTTATTCTTATTCTTATTCTTATTCTTATTCTTATTCTTATTCTTATTCTTATTCTTATTCTTATTCTTATTCTCTATTCTCATTCTTAACTAACTGATTTGTAGCAAGTTCAAATGTAACTTAGAAGAGATAATTGATAACTATTATAGATTATTGATAAATTTTACTGTTTTACCCATTGACAAAAAGGGTATGATACCCTCGTAAAAATGTATCCAACAGGCAGAAAGAGACATCTCCGACCCCATAAAGTCCACATATGTTGGATCACTTTACTATAGTTTCTCACATAAAGTGTACAGTATATCTTCTAGTCGAGCACTCCCGACTTGTTTTATATAAAGGCGCGCGTGTGCGGCTTGACTCTGAATAAATCATTAACTTTGTTAAATAGCACAACAATCAATTTCGCTATCCATTAAATTAGTGACTAAACTATTCATAACAACTAATAACTTCCTGTTCCATGTTACCAAGTGCTTCAGTTCCCCAAATGGCTCGAACTGCAAAAAAACGAGGTGAATTTTGTTGTTTCTGTTGTTGTTGCTGTTGTTGTTGTTGTTTGTGGGCAATCAGTCGACACGGCGATCACTTATCGCGCTGTGCTCGTTGTTGTTGTTGTTGTTGCTGTTGTTGTTGCCGTCCGCATTCGCGTCCCGCTCACGTGTTCAAATTTATTGATTGTTCTGCTCACAAGACACGGCGTTTGTGTTTTGTTGTCCCGCCCGTCGCCCTCTGGAGCTGATGCCGGCTTGGGCGTCCTGCTGCGCGGCATGGGAGACATACGTGTGGTCGTTTTATGTTATATTTTTCGACATCTTTGGTGTGTGTGTGTGTGTGTGTGTGTGTGTGTGTGTGTGTGTCCCGCAACGGAGCCTATGCAACCTTAGACGCAAGTCGCCAGCGACCTGGCGGCTCCAATGCAAATCGTCGCTGCTGCCACATAACGAAAGTGCAACGAGCTTTTATTAACTTATGCGCATTCAGATTACCTTAATAACTCGTTCCGTTAACACTTTATTATGTTCAAGGCTCATAAATCGTTCCATCACCCGGTCGGTCACAGACACAGTCGCAGTCGCAGTCGCAGACGCTCCAGTCGCAGACGAGCCTCATAACCTCAGACGATCACCCACCAGACGCTGGGCGATTATGATTTATCGCGTTTTAATCAATTTAAAATGTTTAAAAACGATACAAATCGGAAGAAATTATGAATGTGTTGCTGTCTTGAGGCTCCACAGTAGGCCAGGCCCACAGCCAATGACAAGCATGCAACAACAGCAACAACAGCAACAACAAGCCACAACAAGCAAAAGTGCTCTAGTCAGAAATCGGAACGACTAGGGGATACCCTGCCGTTGCGACTGTGCATCTTCTTCCCTTAGTCCCACGTTATATATAAGATATGTATTCTTAATTAGCGGAGTTGTTTGTAGTCCGATCTTTATCAAATTTTCGTCGACATTGAAAGTTGTGTATATACCAGAAAGCCAGGCTCTAACTTAAAAACATAATTATTTTTCAATTTAATCGCAACTTGAGCGAAGTATCAAAAAAGTGAAATATTCGAAATCTGTATATACTATAAGAGAATCTACATGCCAAGCTTATTGTATGTAGCTCTTATAATTTTCAAGTTATGCTTAAAAAAGCATATCTCAAAATTGATTTTTATCGATACAAAAATATATAGATGCATTCTCAAATCTCTAGCTTTTGTAGTTGCCAAGATCGAGTTGAAGATGCTTTCTTTTGTTTGTTACATATTATATACCAATGTACCCCATTTCCACTGGGTACAGGGTATAGCAACAAAAACAACAACAATCTTGACGATGGCCACGTTGTTCGCGCATATGCGTTATCCAACGCGTACCTCGTTTGTATTTCACTCGGAGCCAGACTCTCAGATTACCCCGTTCGCTCGATTGTGCGGCTTCGAAAATTTACGCGCGCCACATTAAGCCTAAAAGTCTGATGCAGTTCTCATGGCATGGCTACACATGGATACAGCAGCAGCAATGGATACGGATCGCGTGCTGTGCCAGCGCTGCCTGGGCTCGGGCTCTGTGCCTGTGCCTGTGCTTGTGCCTGTCTGTGTGTGTGTGTCGCGACGATGGCAACGCGACGATTATGATGATTAAAATTGATAAGCGAAATATTTTTATCATTTCTCAAATTAACATAAACCAAATGCGATTATCACACAATAAGCGCGCTACGCTGTGCTGCTGCTTCTTCTCATTCTTGTTGTTGTTGTTGCTTTTCTTCAGGCTTTTTGTTTGGTTTTTATGCGCTTTTATGGCCACCTCCGGGTCCGCGCACAACTGCGGCTGGCTTATATAAGTTATGGCATTGCCATGAAATTATGGCAGGCCAGGCCAGGATTTAGTCGTGGCAAAGTGTCAATGCCATAAATTTATGAGGATTTTGGCCAGCGGTCGTGTCATGCAACTCATATTCGACTCTGCGCACAAATTCGCCGAACACAAACATGCAACATTTATTTCAACTTTTCACCTTTGCTTGCACACACACACACGCTTTGCTTAATCGAGTGTTTATTCAATTTTCAAAACTCGTACTTGTTTTTCTTTTCACTTCAAATTAATGAGCTTAGAAACAATTGCCGAGAATGGAATCTGTTGAGCTCAACTAAATTGCATTTTAGTCAGGATGCATAAAATGAAAATGACTGAGGCCAATCAAATAAAAAATAAAAAAATTGCATATTCCATCTATTTTCCACACTTAAGTGTGGAATTAGCCAAAAAACCCGTCTTAGAACGCATTTACATATCATAAGACATCTAAGTCAATCAGCTTAAACAGTTTTAAATTATAGGAACGGCATTCGTTATTAGAAAAATATAGATCGAGGTTCAGTTCTAAAAACAGAATTTCCAACGAATGCGTGTAATTAATCCCTTCTGGAATTAATCCAAGCATAGTTAACTTCGATCGATTGAATATTGCTTTAAAACGGTTCTCTACAAATACCCTTCCTTTCCTGTTGTACTACATGTTTTTAGCTTCAAAGATTATAATTTTACATTTATTTTTATTATTATTACTAAACTATTCTAAAATGGTCGGAAGCGTCTCGATTTCTTAAGTAATTCGATTTTCTGCTTATCCTCCTCGTATTTCTGACGCAGCTCAACAATACTTTGCATTTTGCTTTCACGTATTTGAAATGTGTAAAAGTTTTTGAGCTCCTTGGTTTTTTTATCCTTTGTCAGTTTACTTTCGATGCGTCCAATAACAGATTCCTTCTGCTCAAAGCCCGCATTGCGTCCATCTTTGCCCACCGTGACCCAACCGTCGGGATCCGCTTCGCTTGTTTTGGCTGCCGCCAGTGCGGCACGCTCCCGTTTATCGTAGTCAGCCATATAGGCATTGATTTCCTTCTGGGTCTTTTCCACATCCAGTATGTAATTGTTCTCGTAGTCGTCGTGCCACAGCTCCATGCCCGTTTTAATCAGGCATTCGCCGCTGCTGTTAAATAAGTCGAGGCTTTCTATGGCCAGCGCCCGGCCAATGCTGATGCTCTTCTGAAAGACCACATAGGCCACCTTGAACTTGAAGGGTGTCTGGACATTCGAGAAGGGCACATCCGTTCCCTCGTACCACTTGGCTGTCTCATCGCGTCCAGGTTTCTCGGCAAACAAAACGCTCTCCACGTTGCCGGCGCGCTTGAAGAACGTTTGCAGGCTTTCTTCCGTTATATACGGCGGCACGTTGAGCAGAAATAGTGTGCGGCCTTTTGGTTTGTTGGGATCCATTAAACGTATGAAATGCTCGCGCATATAAACGCTGTGACAATGTTTCGCATCCGGCGTCATTCGCAGCGGCACAACTGTGTGTGGTATTTAATTAATTAACATCCATTAAAATGCAATAAATAGGTGCTTACCTCTATAGCCTTCTATTTCAGTCATGTTCTATGTTTTAATTAATCAGGTACAAGTTCTAGACTACTGTAAACACGTTTTGTTTAAACTGGCTAAACATTTGGTGGAACAGCTGTTTTCGGCAGCGCAACCAACTTCACGTTTAACCAGTCAGCTGGCAGCCCTGTGCAAAGCCACATATACTTTTGTGACTATGTGGCAGCACTGTTAAAAGTAGAGCGCGTAGATTTGAAATTTAGCTTATGAACATACATGTTTGTAATCAACATAGAATGCTTTGGCTTGCGATATTAAATGAAGTTAAACATATATATTTTTTATTTGACGGGTATTGTGTATATATTTTTAAATTAACCATTAGACCTCGTTGGTTAACATAACAAGTTCAACAATTCAGTGAATCGCGTAAGCTAGAAAAATTTTGCTGCTAAATCCAAAGCTTAGCAAAAGTTTTTCTCTTAGCTAAATGGCAAATAATTAAACAACCTCAGCAGGAGCTGCAACGGAAGCGGCATAGCCACAGCCAAATTGTTTTTTGTAAACTTTGCACGTATTTTAGTTTCGTACAAAATTTGTTTTCCGCTAGCTGTCCGGCTTCAGCATACACTACTCCGGCTCGTATGTGCCCGTGAAATGGTCCGAAAACAAAACTGCACACACTGGCCACAAATGCACCAAACCGCCACCATTGCCCTTTCCGCCCCCTAAAGCTGCTCTGCCAAGCCACGCCCATTGGCCGCAAACTGCGTTCATTTAACCGAACCGTAAAGCGGAAGTTTGTCATGCACGTTTGGCTCGTGTCGTGTCCTGTGTCCTGGGTCCTGTGAATAGATGCTAATTAATTGAATGTCCAGAATTTTTGTTGTTGCTCTCATTAAAAGCAGCGTCATTGCAATGCATGTTTTGGGTATATTTAAAGTCCATTTTTATTGCAATAATAATAACATATTAGCACAGTTGTAATACGATATTTTATCTGTAAATTTATAACCAAGGTTTCCTTGCACAGCTCATGCATTTGTTAGTATTCATTAATCAAAATTCCTTGTCTCCAACTCTAACAAAATCGACCTAATTGCACTGGCAATTGTGGGCTCTGTTTTTGGACAAATACACACACAAACACACACACACATGCGGAGGGTGAACCTGGCTGATTGAATATTGCAATTTGAATGTGGTTTGATTTTGTGCAAGTCTCAAGTGTAATTAAATGTGCAAATGAATACGCGTTCCCAATGCTGTGCCCAAAAGCATAGTTAATTCAATATATAATTTTGTTGATAAGCTTTAAGCCACACGCACACAATATTTAACCAAAATATATGTCAATCTCAAAGGGATCCACTGACCAACTTGAAATCTTCAAGCCGATAAAACTCAACGTAATAAACAAGAATTTGTGAAACTTTTTGCTGTACGTGCGCATAATTTCGAATTTTTTTACAAACAGCATTAATATTATGCGCTGGCAAAAAGGAAATTATGATTTGAATATTTTAAATACCGCCTGGCACGTGCTTTACATTTTATTTATTGAGGGTTGAGCATTTCGCAGCCAAATCCTTGACTAATTAGACTAAAAGTGGGACACACACAACCCCCAAAGCCACATTAAAAACATTTTGATGAACTTTCAAGTATCTCACACATAATAAACAAATGCTGCTCTCGTTGCATCTTCTTTTCATATTGTGAGTGCGTTGAAAAATTTTTTCGAGTTTGAAATTCATTAAAAATGTTCGCTTAGCTGACGCTTGGCTGTGAGTTATGAATGTTAATTAAGACTTAAACACGTCCATATACATGTTGAAAGAATTTATTTTGAGAAAAGAAAAGGGTGTGAGCATCGCACTAACCAGCGGCAGGTCGCCGGTTCAAATTTGTATACCGGGCCGTGCAACACCGCGTAATTTCTTGGATTTATGCAATAAATCAAGGATGTCTTCTTGATTTTTTCGCACAGCTCAAGAAATTCTTTAGGTTAAATCAAGTTTTATATCTTACATTATTTTTATCAAATTTTTTATTCCAATTACCTTTTCCTCATCTTGAAAATATTTGTTTATGTAAACCCAACTTTTCTATAGAAAAAACCGGCTACCATGCAACAGTTTTGTTTTCTAATTTTCCGCTTTCTGATTTAAAGTATTTGAAATGTTGGGCGCTGCAATCCAATGCCCGAAAAACCCATATCAAAACTTTGAATGGACGTGTGAGTGCTGACCTGTGTCGGGTTCGCAGCTTTAGAATTTAGCCAATTGTGCGTAAAAAGTTGCCAAGCGATTTTCGTCGCACGCATGATTTATGTGCGTCCATTTGTGGCACGCAATTTGCGCCACCAGCGAATCAACAAATATATTGTTGTGCAATTGGCCCGGTCAGAAACCCATGCTGCCAGCTTTCGGAAATCCATTGCTGTGGCCATTTATGGCGTCACGTGCAGCAAATTTATTTTCCACCGTCGACGCTTGACAAAAATTTCTAAAAATTATTTCAAATGCGCAAAATTATTGTGCAATCAGCTTTGCTAGAATCGTGATCATATCATAATTTGGAATTTCAGATTTTCAACAGGCAACAAATTTGCTGGCTGCAAATTTAATTGCGCAAAATTCAATTGTAGGGAAGCTGAAAAAATAAGTTTCAAAGTGATTTATAACAGTCTGATAATAAGTAAAAATTTAATAATTCAGTAATATTATCGGGGTTCTTCACAGTAAAAAAAGTGAAAAAAAACGTTAAAATTCGGTTGGCCTTACTTGAGATTATGAAAATCGCATAGAAAGGCAATGTAATCAGTTTGAGGGGAATAATGATTGAGTAAGCGAGCAACAGCGAGAAATCAATAAAAAGTTATTAAAGGAGAGCTAGAAAATGGGAGCATGATCGAGGGAAAGATGAAAAAAGAGAGAAATAGAGTGAAACTAAGAAAGAAAGCAGGTTTATCCCAACTTTAAATGCTGGTACATTACTTTAAATCATTTTGGACACTCAAATCAATTGACATCACTTTTGCTAGTTGCTTATTTATGGCTCATTTAAATTTCCAACAAATGTATAAACATATTTGTAGACCAAAGTATTTACCATTTGAAACGTGACCCACGTCCATGCGATTTTGCAGCTAACCACATTGCAGGCAAATAATAAGCCAATGGAGCGGGAGGAGGGAGGGGGCGGCTTATAGCCACCATAGCTTTAGCTGATTAATCGGCCAAACGCTTTGACTAGCGTTGCTTTCATTAATTATGCCACAATGAATAAGGCAAAGCCGAAAGAAAAACTTTTTTTTTTCGACTCTCATTAGTTGACATGCCACGCCCACTCAGATGGCGTTGCGGCGATAAGCAGTCAATATGGGGCCGCACGATATTGTGGACAATACCTCTTGGCCCGGACTAGCAGCCGGACTGGCAAGGAAAACTTGCACAAAAGGTTAAAAACTTTTGCTCGTTAATTAGATGGCCAAAAAGTGGCCAAAAGCGGAAATTTGTCAAGAGCGCGACGTCGTCAACTTTATGAATTGGCTATTCGTAATTTATGCAGCATTAATTTTTATTTACCAATTTATTTAACTACGTGGGCCACACACAGCAGCAACAACAGCAACAACAACAACAACAGCAACAATAACAAAAAATTAGCTACAGATGCCATTAGCGATAACAAAGACATTTGGGTCTTGGAAGCGGGATCTTTTGGGGGCGAAAGTCGGGGCTTGGGGGCGGCAAAGTACGCCCTCCAGTCATTTATCACGGATATAAGCAGCGAATGCCGTAAAAACCAATTTAAAGTAAATTAGCGCAACGAACCTCGCCTGTCAAACTGTGCAGACAGTGCTGCTAAAACCGCAACGGAAACAGCCACCAAGGAGTGCAGGAAGTCTGCTCTGTGTGTGCGTGTGTGTGTGTGTGTGTGTGTGTGTGTGCGCGCGTGTGTGGCTTGGGCTCAAACGAATGCGACGCGATTTGGGCAAACTTACACATGTTTGTGCCGGCTTTAATTCCCTATCAGATCACGTACGCGGCGCGTGTTTAGCTGGGATTGTAACCTCCCCGTGCTTCCCCCCCGCGCCACACTACCACATGCCCCACTCTCTGGCACAATTTAACCACCTTTGACCCAACGCCAAAGTCTTGAGGCTAACCACAAATAGTGCAGACATTGCGCCTTGGAATTTATTGCACGTGGTAAGTTGCTTGGATGGGTTCAGTTATTCAGTTGGGCTTGCGTTGCTGCACGGACTGCAGATTAGACGTCCTGATAGACACAAAATGGGATTCTTTTTTTTAATGCCCTGAATCCATTGAAACTGCCCAAAAGGGGCATATTAGTTATGGGCAAATCTATGTAACGGGCAGCAGGCAGCTTCTTCGAGCCTCTTAAGCATATAAACTCTTACAACAATAGACGAGTCGATATGGCTATGTCCATCTATCTGTATTTATGAACGCGTTAACCTGAGACTATAATAACTTCTTCGTGCTTTTAAACATATCTCGGAGCTTATAAGAGCCAAAGACAATTAATTTGGTATATTGACACTCGTATAGAATACACCGATCTAAAATATTTCATCTGCCGCAGCTGTTGCAAAAATACAAAAAAAAGGGAAAGTAAGTATATCTTCGATACGCCAAAAATTTAAAACCCTTGTTGACGGTTTTGCGGATATGTGAGATTAGTGAAGCTCGTAAATGCTGAGTTTTATATTAATATTGAAAACAGAATATTTTTCCATACAAGAACCTACTTTTTAGCGGATTGCTCCTATAGCAATTATATGATATAGACAGACGCAGCTATAGAAAGTTTTATGACGAAAGCTTTAAAATTGAGGAGACGAGTTCGCATAGAAACAGACAGTAAGAAACCCGGACTTGACTATATTAACTCGGCTATTGATGCTGTTCTAGAATTCATATACTTTATGAGGTCAGAGATTATATACTCTCTACAAGGGTATATAAACAGAACCATTTTTGGAGGCATAGTCTTATGCTTAGGTATGCACACACTGATGGGCGTTATATTTATGCTCTGAAAGTTTCCTGTAGATCGGACAATAAACACCGAAGTTATTTGAGATAGCATTATGCATAGTATGGGTTTATGTAAGGAAGATGAAGCA